CATGTGACCCCCAGGTACTGCCACAATTACCACATCCGTTTTCTGTGCTGTGAGGACCGAAGTCACTGTCCCTCCACGCCAGCGACCACGGGGATGACCCCCACGACTACAGGGGAGACCACCAGGACCAGCAGAATGATCACCCTTACTAAGGCCACCAGCATGGGGACTCCTCTATCTCCTACATCTGTGACCACCAGCTCATTGGTCCCTAGTTCCGGGATCGCTAGCACGGTGACACTGCCAACCACAATTTCGGAATCTCGGAGTTCAGGCTTGTCTTCATCACTGCCCACCTGGCTGCCCACAGCCAGTCTGGCAACATCTTCTAGTCCGGTGCACACCCCACTCCTCCCCACCTCCTCTTCCAGCCTGACCACCAGCCGCTGCTATTGCCAGGCTTTTGGGGAACTCTTCCTGCCAGGTGAGTACTGGCAATCCCCTCTCTCTTCCAGGGAGGACTTCTACGTGGAAACCGTAAGTCCTACAGTCTGGGACTCTCCTCTGCCAGACCCTCTGAAGGCCCAGGGCTGTGGGTATTCTGTGGGCCTTTCTGGGCCCCTGACATCCCCTCCCCCACTTCCCTTCCTGGAATTCAGACCTCCCTGAATATGCTTAGTTTCCTGTGTGCACATGATGTTTTCAAAAAGTTTAACCCCTTACCCAACTTCCTTGCCATCATGTCAACTGGGACTCAGTGATCCAGTACGGGGGCAGAATCCTCTATCTGGTTTCCAAAGCCTTCAATCTTTATGCAAGTCCACGGCCACATCTTTCTCCCATGGAGTGGCTGGTGAGTTCTAACTGCCAATCTTTGAGTTAGCCTCTGAGCTTAGAGCAGAAGTAAGTTCACAGACAAAAAAATACTCAGAAATGCTGTGTTCCTCTGTGTCTCTTCTCCCCTACACTGTTTCCTTATCATTAACCTCATGTGTTGAGGAGATACATTTGTTACAATTGAAGAATCACTGTCGATACATGTTGTCAGCTGAAGCCCACAGTTTGCATGTGTCCTATGTGTCTTCACTAATATCTGTCACATGTCCACCATGACAGAATCACATAGTTTCACAGCCTGAAAAATGCCCTCATTTCCACTTACTCATCCCTCTCCTCTCCCTCCTTACTCCTGGTAAGATTGTTGTGGTTATGTGCCGTGGAGTCGGTTCCGACCCATAGCGACCCTGCACAGGGTTTCCAAGGCTGCAAATCTTTACGGAAGCAGAACACCTCATCTTTCTCCTGCAGAACAGCTGGTAGTTTCGAACTGCTGACCTTGTGGTTTGCAGTCCGATTCGTAACGACTACGCTACCAGAGCTCCTTCCTGGTAAGATTACAGACTCAGAAACCCAGTCTGTGATGTGCTATCAGTCAAAATCCTCTCAATGACAATGAGTGTTTTAGAATTTTTACAAAAACAGATTGCCATGTTGTTCTCCTACAGAGCTACTGATGGATTCGAACCACCCACCTTTGAGTTAGAAGCGAAGCACTTAACTGATGCAACACCAGGACTCTTAAGTTATGTCTTCTCCAGAATGTATTGTAGTTGGACTCGTTCAGCACACTTTTTCAGACCAGTTTCTTTCACTTAGCAGTATACTTTGGGGTTCCTCCGTGTCTTGTCATATGGATTGATTGTTTTTTGTTTGTTTGTTTGTTTTTGCACTGATATAAAGTGGATGCACTGGCTGTTGTGGGGCTGTATGAGAGACACTGGACTGTTAACGGAAAGGTCAGCAGTTCTAGCCCACCATTCACTCTGTAGGAGGAAGATGAGGCTTTAATTCATCTGTCAGTTTGTCATACTGTGATGACTTACAGGATGCCACCAGTATTTTAACACCAGCTGTGTCACCCATAGTGGACAGGTTTCATCGGAGCTTCCAGTTTCAGACAAACTAGGAATAAAGGTGGCAGACCACTTTTGAGTCTTTAACTACTGAAAAACTTACAGCTAGCAACAGAATATTGTCAGATATAATTCCAGAAGATGAAAACATAATGAATAGCATGAGACTATTGTCAGGCATAGTGCCAAAAGATGAACCCTCAGGTCAGAAAGCATTCAGAATATGACTGGGGAAAAAGAGGTACCTCAAAGCTGTTTGTGACCATGATGACACAAATGAAATAAAGCTCTGGGGAACCTGCATTTGCTGCTGGAGCACAACTCAAAATGAGGAGAAAGAGCTGTAAACAGCCATTAATATTTGGCACATGGAATGCACCAAGCGTGAATCTAAGAAAATTAGAAGTTGTCAAAAATGAAATAGAACACATAAAAATTGATATCTGAGGCATTAGTGACCTGAAATGGACAGGTATTGACAACTTTGAATTAGACATTCATATGGTGTTAGATGTTTGGGAATGACATATTAAAGAGGAACAGCATGACATCAATCGTTAAAAAGAACTTTTCAAGATCCATCTTGAACTAAAACGCTGTCTGTGATAGGCTTATATCCATATACCCACAAGGAAGTCCAGTGCTTTTCCTACAGCGCCACACCAGCCAAAATATGACCTTGAACCTATTCCACCAGAACTTAGAGATCATCCCAAGAACAGAGCAGATGAAACAGACACGAGTTATCAAAGACCAGAAGAGTATGGGATGACATCAAGAACATCATACAGGAAGAAAGCAAAAGGTCATTAAGAAGACAAGAAAGAAGAAAAAGACCAAAATAGATGTCAGAAGAGACTCTGAACCTTGCTTTTCAGCACAGAGATGCTAAGGCAAATGGAAGAAATAAGGAGGTAAAAGAGCTGAAGAGAAAATTATAAAGAGCATCTTGAGAAGACAAAGTCAAGTATTATAATGAAATGTGCAAAGATCTGGAGTTAGAAAACCAAAAGGGAAGAACACAGTCAGAGTTTCTCAAGCTGAGGGAACTGAAGAAAATATTCAATCCTCGACTTGCAATATTGAAGGATTCTCTGGTGTGGCGCTAGAGATTCCATTCACTGAATCACAAGGTTGGTTTGAAGCACAAGGTCGGTGGCTCAAGCTCACCAGCTGCTTCTCAAAAACCCTATACAGCTATGAGTTAGAACCGACTCGATGGCACTTAACAACAAAAAACAA